CCTCCTGTAGGAGGTGAAGGGGGAAAAACAGCCTGTGCTGTTTTTTAGGTGACAATAGCAGTGGCTTGTCCAATTCCTGTACAGGTTAGAAAGTAAAACTCTATTGTAGATAGCCCTGCAAGTCAGACACTTAGGAGGTCCAGAAAAATATGGGTTTTAGCACCAGGTCAAATAGGGCTGACAACACTGTAAGTTTCTTGTTGAATTATTTCTAGGTTTCTTAAACACAGCATTGGCTATGGGCCAATCATATGTTTTGATCTTGAAAGAGATGGAAAAGATTTTTTTCCCCAGTTCATTTCTATTGCCCTGCTTGTACCAAGGGATTACACAGTTGGTACACCAATTAGACTTATGCCATCATTAACTGTCATTAAGTCTAAATTCTTAGAAAGGTAAGATGTAAAATTAATGGCCAGAGAAAAGTATGAGTAGCCTGATGGGAACCCTCTCCTCCAGAAAATAGACAATATCTGAGAAAGCAATGTCTTCCGGATCAATTGCTGGCCATGGGGTTACACACAAAGAACCTCATTTGCATATTTCATTCATCAGTGCTCATACAGCTTATACTCACTGTTTCCTCTGCTGGAACAGTCCTGGGCTGATAAGTAAGGAGAACACAGGGGTGAGTGTGAAGTCAGTACTGATACTAAGGAAGAAGAGAGACTGAGCTTTGGGGCTCCAGTCACAGTGTAGCTAAGATATGGATGGAAAGTGACAAAACACCCAAGTGCTTCATTTATATGATAACATGAACCCATATGTTCAGAGTAATTGGTGTGACAATCAGAATCTTTGTTTCCATCTGGACACTTGCTTTGTCAACACTGCCCGGCTTTGAAGATGAAGTCTTCACTGGGTTTTGTAGCTTGCTAAGTCCTTTGGAGTTCATTTATTTTCGCTCCTGTAACTTGTGTTATTAGAGCTCCATCATACACTTCTGATGACATCACATATGCTCATCTTCAAATCTTACAGCACTCCACACAGAAGCTGTGCTGATACAAATCCTCCTTGCCTTGTATTTCTGCTACCTAATTTGAAAACTACTGTCAAATACTTCAAGCAGGAAAAAAAAAACACAGGGGAGTTAGGTGATAATATTATTCAGTGATATCTATTGAGAGCATTTATCTAATCAAAACAAAAGATGTAACACCTGGTCTGTATCCATCACTCTCCCAACTGATGCAGCTGGAGGCAGTCTGGCTGGAGCTCTCAAAAGTCTTCCTTGGCTCAGTCCTGTCTGTGTGGTACTTTGAGTAAGAAGGTAAGGGGTGAAGGGGTCCATGCCAGCCTGGCTCAGCAAGCTCTCAGTGCTCCCTGGCATGTCACTTTGATGTGCTCTGCCTTTGAAGTATATCCTTCCTTATTAGGCTCCCGTCTTCACCAATCCCTTTATTAACTGCGGTTGTTTGGTGGCAGGGGGGTGGGTGGGAGTCCTCTGATAATTGGTTCTTTGAGGGAGTGAGAAGTATGAGACATGGGAAGAAGAGAACAAAGACAGAGAGTGTGAGAGACCTGACCAGGAAACTGAAAACTGTTAGAATCTACCTTGCTTATATTTTACTTGAAATAAAATAAAATAAGTCTAAAATAAATAAAACCATCAAAATAATCAGTCTGGGTCTATAAAGTGTTTATTGTGGCTGTTGATTTTTTTTTTTTTACAAAGACAAAGTTATCTTATTCTCATCTCTAGATTCCTAGGATTGTTTAGGGTTGGCTAGACTCCTGTTCACTGATGTTTCTGTTTTGAACCACTATTTTAAAGAAATCAAAGTCTGCTCAAGTGTCTTTAGTTCATGAATTTTAGGAATGTTTTCATAGTATGGAGGTACATCATGGCCAACACCCTTACCTCTAAAATTGGACTAAGGTTATTCCAAGGAGAAAATGAACTAATGTTTATGAAGTCCTTAAAAGTGTGCCTTGGAAAGTAAATGATACTTGTTTATTAAATTAAATAAAATGATTTTAAGATAAAGTACAGAAATAGGATAAAATAAGTTATAACATGGGGAATGAAACTCTGTTACTGTGCAGTTTTGATCCATGTGTAGTTATCTCCAAAGTCAGGTCACTCCCTCTCGAGAAGTGGCTGCCCTGCCACTCCCCCACTGTGGTTCAATGATGTAGATTCCACACCCATATCAGCACCATTTCTTATGAACACCCCAAACTACTGTTCCTATGGTGCTAAGGAAGTTGCTTGGTCTTAGTTACCATGTCATGACTGCCCTTTTCTTTTTAAATACTGTCCTCCACTAATGGGAACCAGAGAAATTCCACTAAAAGTTTGGTGAGGAGAGTCACACCAGTTTCGGTTTTCAGGAAGAAATTAATGTTGATTTAGAGTCCTTGTCATTGTTCCATGTTTCTGTTGAGTTTTCTGTCCTTCATTAGAGAAGCAGTTCCAGAATAAACCAGTTGTTCTGCTGATTGACACAGGTACATTAACCACCACCCTTTCAGTAGAACTTCATCTGGAATGACCCAATGACAGATTTTTTGTTGCTGTCTTTTTTTTCTTTGCATTTAAATTCTCAGAATACTAGGGTTTAGAAATTCGCTCATGGCTAAGGCTTAGGTCACATCATTGCTTTCCGCTGGATTTTGCCTTGAGTCTCAGTTTATGGCTCCAATTCAGGGTTGAGGAACCTGTGTGCTAACCACCCACTGTTGCAAAGGAACATTGGCAGAAAGCCCAACATAGGGCTTTCTAAACAATTACAGTTTCCTGGTAACTAAGTCAAACAATTTTTAATGTTTCTAGACAAGATATCTGCAGAATGAATTATGGTCTCAATTCAGAGGAAACTACCAGGTCTGTTCACTCATGCTCCTGACTATATCCAACCTAAAGTCTAAGAATTCTAAGGTGGAAAAACAAATTGCAGTGGCATTTACAGCCTTTAGACTGCTGTCTTGGAAACAAAGATACCACTTTTTTTTCACTTTGTTAGTACAAATGCTCAGGACAACAGCTGCATGTAACTAGGGACCTTGGTGCTCATCAATGTCTATATCTATGGATATATTAATGACTTGCAAACTAAGTCATATTACATTTTTAAGGAATACTTGGTTTCAGTGTCTCACAACTGGCTAGTAGTTTGCTAGGCTGTCTCTCACTTTGGAATCCATAGATATTTTCTACAGTCATAGTCTAATTCTGACTTTGAGTGGTGGTGGTCCTGCCTGAGATATATATTGGGCAATCTGTGATTCTTTTCACTTGGATCATCACTTGTTTCAGGTGGCTCTTCTCAGGAGTTTCAAAAGGAAAATCCCCATGATGGGCGTTATGTCTTTAAGATGATTGGACTTTACCTAGTTAAATTATAGGCAGAACTTAAAATGACAAATGGTTTTTAAATTATTGACAGTCATTATTTGAAAATAAATTTCAGAAGCCTACAAAAATTTAGCTTACCAGATGCAAATGAATTGATTCATCCACAAGACACAAACTCAGAGTACTGCTCCTTGACCATTATGACCAATAATTCCACCTGTTCCTGAAATGACACTGTAATGGGTTCAAAGGTTACTTAGGGTCAAACCATCCTTCTACTTGCCACTTAGATAAGTATCACTTTCCTTGTCTTTTCATCTCCATGTTCTTTTTTAAATATTTAATGATAACTGGGAAAGCAAGTGGAGCTACTCCTGAAAATAGAGTTAAGTCATAGAGAGATCCCAGCTTTGATGGTTCTTGTTCTCATCCTGACTCCTTGTTCTTATTCAGACTCCAGAACAATGTTTGCTATTGGAGCTGGTCAGTTGCACACAGTGCAGACTCATAAGCAAGGGCACAGATTTTGTAGGCAGACATACCTTCAGTTTAATTCCATATGGAACACTGCTCACTAAATTTTGGAAGTGACATGCTCTAAGCCTCCTTTTGCTCAGCCATGAAAAACAATATTTAATTGAAATATGCTTACAGTGTTGACTTCTGATTGAATGGGCTAACTTTGTCCTACATGGTCAGACTTCTTTGTGCTCAACCCATCCCCTCATACTCCCACTTTCATTGCCCTGTTGCTGGATGGTGGCTGTTCAAGGCCTTTATTTTATTAACAGGCTTTATGAGGTCTTTTCTTCTTGCAGGTTGCAAAATTCATCCTTATTTTCTTATTAAAATTTGTGTTTGTTTCCATAAAGGCTAAGAAGTTTGATGGAATTAGATGATCAAACAAGCCTCCCAGGAGTGTTAGTATTTTAAAAAGCAAATGTTGCCCAAATATATGTAGTTTACATACTATCACTTGGCCCCTGACGGCAGGGGCCTAGGAGGAAGAAGAAAGCCTACCAGCTCTTTCCCATATATCTTTTCCTAGGATAAACATCAAAAGCAGTCTAACACTTTTCTTTCTTTCTTTCTTTTTTTTGAAACAGGGTTTCTCTATAACAGCCCTAGCTGTCCTGGAATTAGCTCTGTAGACGAGGCTGGCCTTGAACTCACAGAGATCCACCTGCTTCTGCCTCCCGAGTTCTGGCATTAAAGGTGTGCACTACCACTGCCTGGTTTATTTTTATTTTTAGCTTGGACTCTATATGGTTTGCTTCTTGACATTTTTTCTATATGGTTCCATAAGAGATACGTAGACAAAGTTTTTCATTGGGACCACCAGCTCCAAAATAATTGCACAGAGATTTATTATTAGTTATAAAAGCTTGGCCAATAGCTTAAGCTTGTTATTAACTAGCTCTTACAACTTAAATTAATCCATATTTTTTATCTATGCTTTACCACATGGTGTTAGCTTTTTGTTCAGCACTGCATTGTAGGGGATGCTGTAGCCTTTCACCTTTATGATTGTTAATTTTAGATACTTTACACTGTTAAGTTTTAATCCTCTTTTAGACTAAAAGGGGAATTGTAGGGGATGCTGTAGCTGCACCTTTGTAGGGGCTGGCTACAGGTGTGCCTGACCATGCCTAAAAGGTCAGGGTGAGCAGAGTGAGGGAAGTTTAGGTGGTGGGTTGGTTTCACTTTCATTTTGGCTTGCTGTAAGGATTGCTGCCCTGCCGGCTGGCTAGGTTGCTCTGTAAGTAAGGCTTTTCCCTAATAAATTCCCTTATATTTTACCTGGTTCCATATTGGTAATTTCCCACATTACTGCATGTTCATGCCCTTCTTCCAGCACCTTCTTTGGCTGTTTCTCTTAATATCTTCCTGCTTAGCTATTGGCCAGTCATATCTTTTATTAAACAAAACAGAAGGTGCCTCAGTAAAGACACATCTTCCCAGTACACAAAAAGATTATTTCATAATAGAAATAATTCAAGGAATACTCTTCTTCATTTCCAGGGTGCAGAGAAGAACTTGAAAAATCTCAATGATCTTTGGTACTACTTGGTCTTTATCAGAAGTTAAAGGTAAGTCCTTAACAACCAGATATCCTTGAGATTTCAGAATTGGCTGGGAATGAGCAGCCCCCAAATCCCACCCGAGGTTAGTGCTGTCAAGACTGACTGACACCACCAGAGTGATGTGGCTGTGTAGGTCCTAGAAAAGCAAAAGGCAAGGAGAGTTAGAAATCCAAATCCATCCCTGAGAAGAAATCCATTCTTAGGAGAATTACTGTATCACAGAAGAGGGGGAGAAACACAAAAAGTTAGAAAGAAGGGCCAGACCATGCCTTTTAAGAAAATGTCTTAAATCTGCAATTTCCTGTTAATGAAAGGATTGATGATCCCAAGATTGTAGCTTCAGTAGGAAAACCAGCTCAGTGCTCAGAAGCAAAACGACATAGTCAAATCAGCCAAGCAGACTACTTTTCACTACTGTAATATTGATTGTCTTGAAAAAGTAAAGATGCCAATTCCCAATGAGTATTGAGAAAACCTGCCTGATTGCAGACTGAAATAAATTCTGGATTTAGATTTGTTTCCAATATTGGCATGACATCAGCTATACAAGGCTTAACATGTTGAAAGCAAGCTTTGTCAAATCACCTAGTAAGGCAAAAGAACTCTTCGGAACTTCAGGTACTTTATCCTGCATGCATTGTTATATTAGTGTTAGGATGTTACTTTGGGCTATCTCCCAGGGCTACTTCGATGCTGCCTCCCAGTCCTTCAGCCAGAGCACTGAATAATCATGAGCCACAATCATAAAGTCTTTTTCTGGAACTTCATAGTTTTCTGGTTGAACATTGTTTAGCATGGCTTGTGCTAGAGTCTTCTGTACTAGCTTTACACAACCCTGATATACAGGTTCACAATATGGAAGCCAGACTGCAAGGCTGCAGCAACGGATAGGAGGCACTCAGTTAAAGGGAAGGGCTCTTTGACTTCATCCTTTAAAATGTTCCATTTCTAGATCAAGGAGGCATTAGCATCTGAATATATTCTGGTTTGTTTAAATGATGCCCTACAGAATTTGCTCATGCCCCTATGGCATCATACAGAATGAGCTGTTTCTTGTGTTGGTGTTTCTTGAAGGTGAAGACAAGGGTATCAAGTACATAGGTAAGGCACTAGACAAGCTCTGTACTAGCAAAGGCACTGCAAATGGCTTCTTGTACCCTCTTGTTGATATCCAGGATATGCTACAGCAATTCTGTCATTAATGGCTTCAGGTATGTATCCAATGAGTATAGATATGCAGCCTTGCCTTACTATGTTGTTACACCAGCTTGTTGAAATCATTAACAGACCCAACACACACCAATGTTGCTGTTAGAGAACACAGCAATAACAACTGGTTATCTTAGTCACATTTGTCCTCAAGAGGTGGCCCCCATGCTACAGCAGTTTATAAGACCCTTGTGTACCTCTCTGGGAAATGTAAGAGACAATGAAGAACACGATTAACCATTCTGTGGGATTTGTACCATGATCAGTATGAATCCTGGTGGCCTAATAGAAGATTTTATATTTTTTTTGTGATGCTATCGCATCATGGATTAAGATGATCTCAGAGACATGTTCTGTAAGATCCTACATGAATTTAAAAACCAAATTGGGGAGGAAAATTGGAAGCGATTCTTTGACCAGTTTCCTCTTCCCATAAAAGAGTCTTGCAGCTTTTTATGGTGTTTAATCTAATGTACTTAAGCTGCAGTCAAGAATTAGGGTTCTATCAGTCTTGGAGACTGTAAGGGAGCCTCTGCACCCAGGGAAAATGTTACTGTGTACAGGGGGGAAGTATGAACTAGTAGGGCATATAATGCAATCCCAACCCTACTGGGAGGGTCGGGAGGGTGCTGTTGCTGTTGCTGTTACTGTGTTAAGTCGATGTTGAAAAATGTTATAACATCTGGAGCCTTGGTGGGTAGAATCTGTCTCCAGTTGCAACTCTGCAATGGATGTGAAGAAGCAAAAACTATTCAGTCTATTCACAGAACAGTACTTTCCAGACTAATATGGGTTGTATCAAAACAAGAACCACATAAACAATGAGTAGGGATAAGGAGGGTGAAAATTCCGTGGTTCACAACAAAGGAAACCTAAGAGAGAGAAGCTACAACAGTAAAGAAGCTTCTTCTCATTGAAGGTTTTTCTATACATTTACACACATTATGGGTCCCTGTTTTGCATGATGATGAAGAACTACACAAAACTAACAGATCAAACCCGCTTGCCTCCCTCAGTAGAAGCAGGTCGTTGGATGTTACAATTTAAGGTACCCCGAAAAGTTGTAAATAAAAGGAAACAAATCTGAACAATGAAACACCTGTGAGATGCCAATGAGTCACTCCCTTTACTTTTGTAGGCTGGGCAGGGAGGGAGGAATAAATGGGGCTGGGGTATGAAACTAAATGTGACATCTAATTTCACATTAAAACGTTAGTGGATACAATTGTACTTGGTTGTACTTATTAGACTTAATTTCTAGGCCAACACGGTATCTTAAGGAGCAGTTGAGGTTCAAGCATGCATTGTGGTTCATAGTGATTGAAAGTGAGGTAAATTAGTGAGACCATAGCATGCCTGCATCACATAGAGTACGGTTGCTATTCATTTACCTATGTTGCTCCAGTTTGGGTTGCAGTTTACCAATTCAATAGCCCTGCATTTAAAATTACTTTAAGATTTGTGGATTTTATTTTTATTAAGAAGACAGATATATAAAGCTCTCTAGTTTACAGCTAGGCCTTGAAATATCTTTTTAGGATCTATTAGGAATAAGATTGCTCTTGTATTTTGTATAACCTGCACACTGTGCAAAGCTGATACACCTCTGTGTAATCTTTGCCTCTGTGCTGTCAGTGTGGTGTGCTTTCTGCATGGCCATATACTACTAGTGATTTTATCAAGTTTCAAATTACATGGTGAAAGGTCTGCAAAAGGCTGCATAAATATTATTTGGCACATGAAGACAATTGTAGATGTTGAAACATGATTGCTATATTTCAATGTTTATTCCCACTCAACAAATTGGCCCTAAGCTTTCCTTTTTAGTATTCAAAGCATTATCTTAAATATATGTTTAATTTAGTGGATGTAACACTTGGTTCCTACACTGTATTGGCAAGTGTTGGTGGTCCTTGGCACCCTAAGTATATGCACACAGGGTGCAAGTTCAAAGCTACAGAATGAGAGTTGTTTTGGATCCTCTTCATTTTACTTTTGTTTTTTTCTGTAGTATTTTCCCCTCTACTTACATGTATTCCTGTGAATAAATCTTTTTATGTTATTCCTTACAAAAAGAAAGCCTGCACGAACTTTGGGTGATGTCATTAAGATTCCATTTATTTTATTTATTTTTGTGTGGTGTATGTAGAAGTAGTACACAAGTGAAGGCCAAAGCAGGATGCTGGCTGTCTCCCAGCACTCTGGCTGGCCAGTGAGCTCTAGGGGTTGCTCTCTATTCTACCCCCCTGTGCTAGAGATACAGGCAGGAAGGCTTCACTGTCCTTTTTATATGGGTGATAAAGATTTGATTTTAGGTCCCAGTGCTTGCAAAGTCATCTGCAGGGCCCACATAAGTTTGAAAACCTCAGCTACTGTAAGGTAACTTCAGATCTCCCTTTGAGTTCTTTAGGTTACCTTTAGTGATTAGGTTTTATTGTTTAGGACGAGTCTTGTTAGTTGTCACCATGACTAGTCTAATCCCCAAGACAGTATTACTTGCTTGCTTAGTATTTCTGGCCACCCTGGATGTGAGAATCCTTGTTTGACTCTGTCACCATCATCTTTACTTTGTGATTGTATTTGTGACTTTGATTTTAACACTCACTCTTTGTGTCTCAGTACCCTTCTTTAATAAAGAAGAATGTGTTACTTTGATGCTTTTTAGAAAAAGGTATACATTCATAATTATTTGTGAAACACTTTTTACACAGTTCTAAGAATTGTAATCCTGGAGAAGCACTCAAACAAAAATATAACATTAGAAATTCTTTTTTTTTGGTAGTTGGTTTTAAAAAACTAAAAAATTTAGCTGGAGTGTAAACAACTGTAAATGGCTGCTGTGTATTTGAACATGTTATGTTAGATCTTATACCTTGTAAACAGTTCTGATTCCCATTCCACCAGGACAAATGATAAGGTTGAGTCCAAAGGATTTGATACCTACATCTGAATAAGCTAGATAAAATATGTTGTGTCCCAGTTGTTATAAATCTAGGGAAATTAAAAATGTCTTTGAACAAAATGTATGGTCAAATCACAGGATCTATCAGTAGTTTCAAGCAATCTTCAAACAAATCCAACCAGTATATACTTATTAAATATTTGGATGCTAAGCTCTTTGCTGGCCATAGATGCAAGACAAAGATGAAGACATTTTGTTGATGATTTTACTTCTTACTTGGAAAACAGAATTTGTCCTAAATGGATCAGGGAAGTCACTAACTTTGATAACATAAGAAATGCTTTGCATAGCTTATGTTTCAAAAATATCATTAATCATTCCCTCTGAATATTTTGATGATGAGGATCACATCATAAGTAAACACGAAAAATTGTTTTGGTACCTGCCAACCTGAAATGCCTACTAAACATTTTAGAATAATATATTACCTTTTTTTTTTTGCCTCCACAGTGATTAAGTCTATCTACAGGTACATGGAAAAATATCAACTGGGACTAAATTACAATGCTGCCTCTTCTTCATGTGTGTGTCAGGGTGATGCAGGGTGTGTCAGGGAGTTTTGCATTTTTTATCTGAAATGGAGTTATTGTTCAGTAAGTATTTTAAAGAATTGTTAGTCTATTGAATAAATGATATATAGTTTTAGAGGTGAGACAAGTTCATATAAATTAATATTATCATAGAGAATGGTGACATTAGGCAGAAATATAATGTAAAAGTAATGCCTAACTCTTCATGTCCCATGAAGTTTGGGGTTGAGCATTTTTACCTTTTGCTTGCTGGGCTATAATACCCTCAAAACTCAGGTATATGCATATTTAGAATGGAGAATGATGTACTGCTAGTTGGATAGTAGACAAGTTGCTCTCCCCTGCTCCAAAGGGGAAGGGAACATAAATTCACTTTTAAGAGGCCCTGTAAAGAATTGTAAATGTTGGGTGTTTGAAAAAGAAGCGGGAAAGACTAGTACAGGAGGAAGCGACTGAGAATTGAATGAAAAAAGATGTCTGTGGTAATTTTTAACTATACTGGAGTGTCCCACTCAGGAAAATTGTTTTAGTTCAATCTTGACCATCGAGTCAGCATGCTCTTGATATCCCTGTGGGTTAAATCTCTTTCTCGTCTCCTCCACAAATAATGCCTGTGTGGGGGCAAGCTGCAGCAAAGCGCTTTCCCGGATGATGCATTCACACAGCTCATCAGCTCCATTTCACTCTGTTCCGCTTGCTTTCTGGGCAGCAGCTGCTGCTTCTAGCTGCTCCCATTCCTAAAGAAGTAACCCAGGGAGGGAGGGAACAGTGCTCTGAGACAGACAGGAAGCAGCGGACTCATGGCAGAAAGGAAAACACATAAAGGAGCAGAAGAGAGACACTGCAAGGAAAGAGAGTTCTGAATAAGAGTGATGAGTTTGGTTAAAAATGGAATGGGGAAGGGAAGGGAACAGAGGGAAGATTGTAAAAGGAATAAAGAGTATTTGTGGACATGGAAAAATAAAGCAATGCAGCAACAGAGAGGATGAGCATGCTGAGAATGTCACTTAGAAGCTGCTTCTCGCTTAGCTGTGAGAACTACTAGCTATGAGGCCTTCATTAGAACATCCCTTCTAACCTCTGATCTGCCATGGACACAAGGGAATAGGTGTGTCAAGCCACATTCTCATGCCAGTGTACCCATGCGTATGATCAATACATAGTAGGCTAATTTTAATGTCATTCCTCTCTTTCCACTAAGAATGCATTCATTATAAACAAGTAGGTGAAACTTATCTTGACAGAGAAACGACCACCTTAAATTACTTTAATAATTGAAAAGAAACCCTTTTTATCATTGTAACTGTTATACATTTCTTTTTGTAACTCAAACTATCGATTATAACAGCTAGGTCAAGGACAGCTATGATAAGTTAACTGTGAATCTTTATACAACCACTTTGCTACATAATTGAGAACAGCTTCTATATATAAATGGATGAGGAGGGTCCTTCATGTGTTAGACATATTGACCTTGGCAATGGGTCAGAAGGTCAGGGAGAGAAGCATTCTGTTTCCCCTTTAGTTCATTCTCCTTTTTTATGGTGTTTCACCTCCCTTCAATATGATGAAAAAAACATGTTTTGCAAACATATATGTGAATCAGGCATCTTTTGAGGGTACAAAGGTTCCGTCTTTTGAGGTACATGTATAGTGCTGTGCCACTTTAAACCAAGAGGAAGATTTCACATGGTAACGTTGGGATGGTCATTGTTCTTTCATCTGAGCATCCTAAGCTTACTCCCTGTCCCACATTTGTGCTGCTCCTATCCTGTGACAACTGAATAGTTATTTTCTCCACAGAGGTTCTAAAGTTTGAAGCTGCAGAATTAAGAGTCTGTCAATGGAGCAAAAAACAGGCAAGAGGACAAGCCAACCTGAAAACTATGAAGTCAGAAGTGACAGAGGTGATGGGTGAGTGAGAAAGTTCAGATAGTTTAATATGTGAATTTCTCTTGGGTCACTAAAGATTCTAAAGAACAAATGAATAGAGAAAATAAGTTTTTGAGAAGTTTTATAGATTGTATTTGTATATATAATAAATATATAGTAATAAGATATTTAGATAAGTAAATATCTAGCAATTGGATATGGAGATCTGCGAATTCAAGTTGGAATCATATTTGAAATGTTTTGATTGCTGGACTTTTCTTTGAATGGACATCTTATAAGGAACATGTAACCCGAAGCCCTCGCTTTTAAAGAGGCCACATTGTCATGGAAGACAAAAAGCATTTATTTTTAAAGGCAGCAACAATGCATTCTCGAGACTAGGGTAAGATTCTTATGGGACAGCCAGAAAGGATTCAAGGAGAAGATTGTGCTTAACAAGTATTTAAATATTTTGTATAAATCTAGGGATTTCATGAGGGAGACAATGTCCTCATAAATATTAAGACACGTCTGAAGTATGAAATCTGTACTGCATATTAAAAACATAAGTTTTATGGCCACATGTGGTAGGAGATAAAGAGATTCCTTATAACTACTGTTATTTATTAAAAGATTATCAAATGCCAGGCATTGTTTAATTAATTGTTACAATCAGGTTGTAACTACATTGGTCATCAGAGTCAAGTCAATACCAAAATGGCTGAGGACAGAATCTTTGTGAATATTTAGAAGCTAGTAAAGAAACAGAAAACCAAAATAAGATCAGAGCTGTTACACAAACAATAAAAACCAGTGTCATGGAGCCCAAGAAGTTCGGTGTAAGTGATAGAACCAGGTTTCAATAGCTCCAGGCATTAGAAGAGAGGAATGTTGGAAGGATGTTGTTGGCATTTTGAGAGAGAATTTTCATTTCATTTCATTGCCTCACCAAGCAGCAAAAGTACTTTTTCTTCAACATTGTGTGTGTGTGTGTGTGTGTGTGTGTGTGTGTGTGTGTGTGTGTGTGTAAGCAGTGAAGAAACATTCATTGGACAATCCTGTGTAGGGAGCCCCTTAAATAGGACATTTACTGAAACCTTAGTCAGAACTTCGAAACTAAGAATGAGTCAGAAAAGCAGCATATCCCACCCCCCCCCCCCCCATTCTATAGATGAAGAAGCTGAAGTTGAAAGTCTTAGTGACATGCCTATTTTAGGAAATAATGAAGATAATAGGAGAAGTCAGGTCTTTGTAGATCTCAGGGTGACTCTTGCTTAGTGGAGTAATTAATTTACCCACAATATGAGTCATCTCAGTACTGGGAATATAGACTTACAACAGGCATGAACCTGATATCACTGCCACACAGTGGGACTTAACCACTAAGTGAGCAGTTACTGTGTGTTTGTCATCCTAAGTTTGACCAGTATATGTGCCCACTCATCTGTCACACAATGCTCCCTACAAGAGTGGTGGAACAATGCACATTTTAATAAACATAACCTACAGATACACTAACAAATTAGTAATGCTGCTGAAGTTTGAGCATTGGTCTCTCTGACTGACCTGTGCTGCTTCTTTTGGGGTCCATGGGACTATGGGAAATGTACTGTGGATCCAGGTTATCTTGTGTGTGTCTGTGTGAGTGGAGCAGAGTGCTTGAAGGCACATATATGAATGTGTATGTGTGCAATGGCCCCAGGACAACCTCAGACACTGTTCATCAAGCTCTATCCACTTTGTTTTGTGACCCCTGTCTTATTGGCCCGGGACTCACTCATAAGATTATACTGGCTGGCCAGCAAGCCTCAGATCTGCCTATATCTGGTTCCCCAGTGCCAGTATTATAAATGCATGCTCTCATTCTTAGCTCTTAAAATATTTTTATATGGGTTTTGGGGATCAAACTGATGTCTTTGTGCTTGTAAGGCAAGCACTTCACTGACTAAATATCTCCCCGGCCCAATTTATCTTGTTAAATGGATATATTGTGACATCACCTGCCAGATGTTTTGACAGTGAAAATAAGAGCAAAAGTACGTGTTCTTTAATGGTAGGAGTGTGTCCTTTTTCATTCCAAGTCACTTTGTTGGTGATGTTGGAGCGGGAGCTATGCTTTAGGGTTTCTGGTTTCCTGTCTCTCTCATGTGACCATGTGCTGCTGAGAGGTAAGTCTTGTGAGACAAAGAAACATGAGGCTGAGAAAGAGCAAATGGGATTCAACAGGAGAGTTGGCAGTGACAGTCACAAATTCAATGATGGGCACATGGCTAATCAAGAAGGGCCCCTTGGGGAGGGTTCAGTCATGTGTGCAGGGGAATGGCTGTGAAGCAGAAATAGCCCCACTGGGAAGAGAGACATTGACAGATGTGAAACAGGCAAAACCATCTTTTGGCTTAATTTACCTTTCATTTGACTTGAGGTAAACTAGAAGAAAAGAACCATTTAAAATGGACTTAAAATGATGACATTAGAGATGCTGTAAATTGGAGGTAAAGAAATTACAGATGATCTGACCACATCCAACTACAGAAAGGATTCAGTAAATATGATTAAAATCTGATTTGAGCTTAAGATGGATATTGTGGTTATACAAAGGGATCAGGCTGATTTGAATGTGTCTACTCATCCATTTACTGTTCATTATCTACTACTCAGCCTGGACCATGTGGGAGGCTCAGGTTTGCAGTTAGACATGGAGAGCTCAATGAAGAATGGCCAGTCCTGCAAGGAGCGCCGTGTCTGGCAGTGAAACTTATGGAAAGAAGTAACTATCTTATGCTTTCACAAGTCCTATCGAAGAGCCCTGCCTCAAAGCATTGAGAGAATACAGAATAGGAGTGTTTAAAGCAGTCTTGAAGACTCATTTAGGAAACATCCCCCTGAGAAGGTAAAATGATCATTTTTGAAGGAACAAGCAAGAAAACGCTGTGCTCTACTTAGCAAGTTATGGACAGGATGTTGGACTTCCAAGAAGACAACACTGACCGTGTGTGCTGGGTTTCACAGTTATTCCTGTAAGTGGTGGTGAGATTTGGAGACAGTCATCTTGGGGTAGAGTGGCTAGTGGATGCCGAGGCCCCTGCAGCCATCTAGATGACAGAGGAAGGACTGAGATCCGGAAGCAGAATGGAAAAGAAAAATGTGCCCCCTTTGTTTCAGCAGTGTTTAGGGAAGTTTACAAATAACTTAATGAAAATCTTGCATCCTGTAACTTGTTACTTATAATATCTAATACAAGACATTCACTTGGTTGAACTCCAGTGTTTTGGACCTTTGACAAAGTCCCCTTACGTCTTTTGATTTTTCCCTCAGGTTCTGTTCCAGCCCTCAGGATACTCCTGTCTGCTTTTTGCCTTCTTTCCTCAGCCCTGTCTGTGACCTAAAGTTAGGGAGGTGGAGTAAACATGGAGGTGGTAGACAAACTCTCCAAAGTGGACAGGCATTTCTGTTCGAGGACATGGAGATTTAATATACTCACCTCTCAATGCCACATTTTGGAATTGACTATTAAGAAGGGAAACTGCCTGTTGAAGAAAGAAAAATAATCATACATTTCTGGGTGGGGGGGTACACTGAGAAAATGCATGTAAAACTAATTCCACTTCCTTTTTTGAGTGCTGTAGAAGCAGTTATTTTTATTTTAACAGGATATTATGTTCAAAATTGGTTTATAGAACTTAAAAGTGATGGTAGCGCTGTGTGTGTGATATTTAGGCCTAAATGACCAAACTGTCTATTTTGATAACATTCAGCAAACTTGTGCTGTTAATGGCCAAGAACAAATACATGGAGCTTTGCAACGTAGGGTGACTGGTATAACCAGTGAGCTCACCCGTAGAGCATGAAGCCAATTATTATACATTAAAATATCAGTGTGAGGACCAGTCAAATGCTCAGCTTGTAAATACACTCACTGCTAAGCCTGAGGGCCTGAGTTTATTCCCAGGATCTACAGGTGGAAGGAAAGAATTGAGTCCCATAAGTTGCTCTGATCTCTAAATGTGTCATTACATATCTGTAACCACACATGTACAGATAAACATAGTAAAATCATAATTCAGTGCAAGTGTGATTTAAATTAAACTATGCAAAAGCAGACAGCAAGGCAGTCATTACCTATGGGCTGCAGTCTGCCAAGCCTCATTTCACAGTTTTACCAGTTGAAATGTATCTGGATGAAGGTGTCCAGTGGAATGCTGTAGTTTACTCTCTGTGGCTGTGCTTTACAAAAAGGTTGAGTGAATTGTATTGGTGAATACTATCGATTACAGCTGAATATGCAGAAGATGCTGGAGTTCAAAATGGCTTTGAGGGATCAGCAATGAGCAAAATAAGAAAGATTTGGTTCTAAATAGGAACCCAGCAACTTAAGTTAAGAAACCAAACCAAAATCTTGTGTTATCTTTAGTTTAGGAGAAGACATGACAAGAATCCACGAGGACAAAAAACCAAAACAAAGTAAAGGCAAATTCTAATGTAGTTGATCTGACTCTGAGCAGTGATGCACTATGTTAACACGGATGCTGAAGATAGCTTGGGCTGAAAGCACAGCACACAGTGTGCAAGGCAATGGAAGATGTCATCCCACAGGGTTTTGTGGACCTCAGAGTCCCCAGGCAGACTATATTTAGTTGTCGTTCTTATATTTTATTAAGTATTTCCCCGCAGGAGTAGGGGAAGATTCCTCCTGATTTGGAGAAAGATATAAAAGTCCAGAAATGTTTTTCATAATTTGTAAATATATAGTCAGTAGGGAAGACACCCATTTCTTTAAATAGTTGAAAACTCCCACTTTGAGAGAGTTGCAAGCAATTTCTGCCCTGTTGGCAAAGAAATGGGAGTGGAGTGTTATCATCCCTTTGTTCTAAAAGGAAGCGTTTGATAACCATTTTTAGTCAAGTATGACCCAATTTTACTTTGGGAAGCAAAGAAATCATGAATTAATTGAAATGAAGGTTTTAAGGCTGAAGATTTTAAGGGGACAGTACAGAAACTTATGGATAATTACAAAGTGGAGTCAGAGACAGGTTGATAACCTGTAGTTTATTGGGGAAAAATACTCAAACAAGGGAGCCAGTGACCAGGTTTGCACCTGAGCAGGATGGACCCAGAAATGCTTCCCAGTCATCTCAGCCAGGTGAAAGAGAGCCACATCCGCGCCTCCCTCCTTCTTAACCCCTTGTTACATACCAAGCGGGCATGGTCAGTGGTGCCACTAATCAGGGCTTCTCCCTACAGAAAAGTGCATCAGGATGTATTTGAACACTGCAGTAAAACTGTTAGGTAACTTTTCCCACATCAGATTCAAACATGGCTTTTGTTTTTCAGTGGGTAGTTGCTGTGTTCTAATCTGAGTGAGATGTTATACATTATACTAACAGACCAATCAGGCTACTGTGGGAAGATTTGTGGTGTGAATTTGAACTTGACTGGTTAAGTGACACCTGGAGTGTAACCATATGTCCCCTTCATAGTATATTCTCTGAGGACACACCATCCTAGGGTATCGTGATAGTCTTCTGTTCTGAGTTAGCTAAAATGATAAACTCTACACAGCAAAGGGTTTATCTTGAAAAGAAGGTGGTCTCTCTAGACATCAGACTGAGGTAAGAAAAAGTCAAGGTTTGGACTGGCAGAAGCAGACATTTTTTATTTAGGTGCAGCCAAGGAGAAGTTGGGCTAGAAATACTCCATATGAACTTCTCTCCAGTCATTGATGGGCTTTGACCTGGGCTGTGGATACTTTGCAAGATACCAGGGAGTCAGATTGGAACTGGTCCTAAGAACACTGAGGCTCAGTCACCTCTACTGGCAGGTGCTAGTGTTCTGTGTTCCTGCTTGGTATCCCCAGGCTGAAGTCATAGCATGTGCTTAGCATGTTTTGAAGAATAAAAAAAGATACCTGTGGGGAGTGGCAATAGCCTGGGGAAATCAGTTACCAGTTTGTGAAAGGTAAGTTGCAGAAAGTCAGGAAGCAGTCTAAAGAGAGACAATTGCCTGAGGTGGCCTACTGTAACGGTATAGATTTGTATATAGAACACTGCCTTGGACTCTCAGAAATTCTCCCCATGGGATCCTGAAATAATTCTCACAATGATATGGGAGGGTGTGGCCTGCAAGTGCTGTGCCCTATTCTCTTAGTGTTTGGTACTGAGTAAGAGAGAAACTAGATATGAATTTTAGTCAGTGTAAAGTTGAAATTTCTGCATTTGTACCTGGAATCTACTCAACAGCAACAGCAGGAAAATCACACAGAAGACTAATAACTTTATCTTCAGAAGACGTCTGAAACAATTAACCATATCAGGATAGGAAAAGTGGTGATATATTATTTATTATTTATTAAAGTTTGCCTGAGAATTCAGAAAGCAAAGTCATCCACAAACCATAGAAAGCCAGACACAAACTTTTAATCCTAGGACTCAGGATTAAGAGGTAGATGGATCTCTGTGAGTCCAAAGCCACCCAGATCTACACAAGATTGATCCAGTCCTAATGAAAAACAGCTCACACAAAGATGATCTCTGTAGGGAGACACCCTAGCCCCGCCCAATAGTCCTGGGACAGGTTCCAGGTGGACCCGGGACTCGCCCATAAGGGCGGGGTGGAGGAAAGCCGGGGTGACGTAAGAGAGCTTCTTAAGGGGCTTCACGTGGGGACCCTGGCCCCCTTTGTGTTTTGGCCCAGCTGGCTGGGTTCTATAACCTAGCTCTGGCCTGTGTTTTACCTTGGTGTCTTCTGGAATAAAGAGACCTTAATCCTACAGATCTCAGCACCTAGGATCACATGCCTTTAATCCCAGCATTAGAGAGGTATATAAGACAGGAGCAGGGTCTCAGTATCAGGCATTTTCTAGCCATATTGAGAATAGGAATGTCTCAGCACTATTGAAGGTAAGAGCTCTTTAGTGGCTTGGCTGCTTTGCTTCTCTGATCTTCAGCTTGAACCCAAATATCTGTTTCTGCGTCTTTTATTTTTTTGTGTGTGTGTTACAGAAGCTCTGCCCCTAGAACAGCATGAATGGAGGAGGGCTAAGTGTGGGAAGGGATGCTAGTGGCTTAGAACCTATCTGGACAGCAATGCATGGCTTCCCAAGGTGTGAACCACTCTTCTTGTTTGTAAAAATAAGTAATCCTATAGGTAGTAGTGTTACACATGAACTATATCCTCTTCAGAGGAAGTAGAGCTAATTGGGGAATCACGCAGGCAAGCCATACTGGCATGAGGAAGTCTGATCATGAGACATTGGTCTTGGTAGAAAAGGAAGAGCCCAGTGCTGCCTGCCAGTGACAACAGGCTAAGAGTAGAGTGCAGACCCTTACTGTTGGTCATGAAGTGTATTGCTTTAATCTGCAGGGGCACTCTTCCATGGGTTTGGTTGATTAGTGATTGAACTTCAGAAACTGAAAAAACAAAAATTCTAACTCCTAGTAAGTATATAAAATGGTATCAGCACCTTGAAAGGAGTTTCTCGTAAAGAAAACAACAACATACACAGATCATAAGATCCTACTATCCTACTCCTAGAAATTTACAGATGAAGACCTGAAAAGCTATTATTCAATGCAGCTCAAATTGGAAATAATTTAGAGATCTATCAAGAGATAAAAGGATAGAGGTGCTGTGATAGATCCTTAGAATGGCAGGATTGTTGAGTAATTGCAAGGGACAATATACCCTTCAACACTCAGAAATATCAACTGGTGTTTTCCTGGTGTGGGCTTGAAGGGATTATGAAGAATACATCATTTTGTTTTTTTATGCTACTCTCAGGGTTTACAACCATATGGGACTTTATCAAATTGTACATCAAACTATTATAGTACATACATGTGCTACACTATACATAAATCATAACTCAATAAACCTATTAGAAAATACAATATAAATAATGCTGAAGGCTGTGATGCCTTTAGACTGGTTGCAAGTCAAATGTGAACAAGTCAATCAAAATCCTGTATTGTTTTCAGATAACTGCAGACATTAGAATCTATGTGATAATAAAATTTAAGTTGAACTCAAATGCCATTTTAAATATAAATAACCTCATTTTCACATAGTATTATCATGCTGAGAGACCCACTGCAATTTTACTTTTATTGCTCACTTGGCTGAGAATAATAAACAACCCTAGAAGCAGAGTTATGTTTTCTTAGCTTGATTTTTAATTTTCCCTTTCAGCTCACATTGTTTTAGTGCCTAGAACAACAGGGCTGTGACAATACGGGGTATCTATAAGTGCCTTGATGTAATGT